AAAATTATCCTAGTTCTCCCGAATGGCCTACTTGAGCTCTCAGGCCTAGGCTTAAAATTTTAGTCAAGCCTTGCTTATAGACACTTAACTACCCTATCTCTAATATAACCATGCCAGAATCACATTCCCATCATCCTATAGCATTAATCAAAATTCCTATTACCATTACTCTAGCATACAGAGGCCCCACTAATAAAACCTCAATAATTAGTAACTCTACCACGACTAGGATTTGAGATAGATAGTCCACCACTCTTAAAATCTCCATGTCCAAACCTGGTACTTTTCTTTAAGAAAAAAAATTGCTACCATAAGTCTCACTTCCAAACCTCTTCCTTCATGTAACTCATTGTTGTTGATTAGATATAAGACCATTCTCTATTAAAAGATCCTCTCCATTAACTTAGAGAAATAGTAATGTGAAATAGAACTTGCAGCTACCTTAGACTATCTTAGAGCCCTCTCAAAAATTTGTAGCACTTCTATTCTAAATTATTAATCAGCAGCAGGGCATACCTGCTAATGCAAGGAACTCTACCTCTTACTACATAACTTTTATGCTTCCCTAAACTAACCTAAAAGAAAGTGCATGTCATGCATCTAATGATGTGTGGATAGAGGATTAAACCATACTCAAAATTCATCTTTAAATTCCTCTTAGCTAATTTGGGAGTTCAGCCTCCCCTAAAACTTTTTTCCTTTGCTGGCCCAACCACTAGTGCTCAGCCTCACCATTAAACAATAATATGTCCAATGGTAGCTTCCTCTCAGGAGGACACTATAGCCCATTAAAAGTCTTCTCTAATCTCATCAACCTATCCTTTGCTACTCTAGGCTAACAATGCCCTTAAATCTTAGATGATTTAATCTAAAAAAATGTCTACATGCGTTTGTTAACCTTATCAAACCTAATAGAAGAAATTTTGCTCTAAGCCTTGCCAATCAGTTAGGCTACCAAACTAGCAAACTCATAAATAGAATTAAAACTAATAGTAAGAGTGCTACTCTGCACTAGTGCTATCCGATTAACACTATGCTCATCTAACATATTAGGGTCATACTGATCCATTAGATAATAACACATAACACATTGTTGAATAGACATACAAATACAAATAAGATGAAATTAATGCCTGGATAATACATAGAACTACTTCACTCAATTCTATATCATTTTTAATAGCTTTGTTTAATAATTAATCCACCAAAACCACTACTCTCATACCAAAAAAAGAGTTATCACAATCCAACTCAATAAGACCCATAAATAGAATAGGTTCTATCACATTGAATTCAGAAATATCAACCTAAGATTTAAGTTTTAGGAACTTTTTACTTTTAATTTTTAAATTTCATAGATCAAATAGCTTCTAATTAATTTCCATTGAGCGAAATATAATAAACTCATTCATAAATTTATTTTCGTTAATTATTAAAATGTATTTTGCAATAAAATCTACTATATACAGTATATGACTATATACGTGAATGAAAAAATAAATAAATAGCCATGATAGAACAAAATTAAAAAAAAAATACCTATATAGAGTACTCAAATAAATCAAAACTTGATATAATTGCTACTCGACCAGCTCCATCCCTTTCCCCTAATCTAAAAATAGAATGCTTTTTAGATGTAAGCCAACACTGTTCAGGTGGTCACACCAATAAATATAAATTCTATATATTTTATTTATCATGTATTTAACCAAATTTAAAGCCAGTTCATCATAAATTTATCATACTAATCATACTATTAATTACAAGAAATTAAAATAAGATAGATTGTGCATTGAAAGTAAACAAATAAGTACTTTATATATCAAAGCAGAAAAGTAATAAAAATTTTTCAAGCTCTTATCCTCCCAATAGAAATAGGCCCTTATAACTCTATATACAAGCATATCATAAAACAACCCCTTATGACTCCCAATGCTTAGCACATACCAAATATTCAAAAATTCAGACCCCTATAACTCCTTGTGCATTGAGCACAAGAACTTCCAACACACGTTAGATCTTCTAAACATCACATATTTTACGTAAATAAGCATTTATTTCATTGCATTATAATAAAAGAAATATAAATAAACCAATTTCAAAATTTTACATAGCGTTTTATTACTAGGCAAAGAAATTAACTAATGAGTGGAATTTCATAATTCAAAATGTCAACAAATTAATAGGGATTGTTCAAAATATTATTTTGAATATTTAATTATACTTCATCATTATGTTTTAGGGTAATAATTTTTTTTCCAAATAATATAACTTACTTTTCAAGCCACCCTATGTAAATTTCTAAGAAAAATACTTAAATATCCAGAATAATTAGCTCTACAATATTCAATGAAATTTTAGTAGCAATACAGTTATCCTTATTTTTACAATACAAAGTAATAAATCTAAACTGTAACATAAAAACAATATAGGCATAATATAGCCTACCTCAACTTGGATAAATTTTAGAGCTGGTCTGACAGGAGAAAATAAATCGTTGGCCCAAAACCTAGCTTTATCTCCTTAGAATTCTCTCTCTCTCTAGCTCTCTCTCTCTCTCTAGCTTCCTAAGGGAGGAAAATGGATTTGAGTTTAAAAATTTAGTGGAAAAGGATATTTTTATGAAATTTGAATCGAACACGACTCCATATCCTCCCACACTAAAGCTCTCTCCACTAAAGAGCATAAAGCTGTAGCACCACCTTACTACCAAAGCTTATAACTATTTTGGCCAAAAGATAGAGAGTTCAAAGCATTGATGCCGCCAACCCGGCATCGTGATGGCCTAAGGAAAAAAATTTAGATTTCTAAATTATCCACACATACCCCTAGGACTTGCTTCATAATAGATTTAGACATTATTCACATGAATATAAAACACTCTTAGACGCATGCAAGGGGTGTTAAATACAAAAAAAAATTATAATTTATGATTAACAAACTGTGTCATAATAAGTGAAAGATTTTAAGCATATCTTGAAGATGTATAAAGAGCTTAGTCTCTTATAAGGGCCAATCTTAAAAAAAAAATTGATATGATCACTTTTACAAGAAATTTGAGAATTGACTAATTATTAATATTTCTTTCAACAACTTAATTGCAAATATCAGTTAAGCTTATATATTATATAAATAAAGAAATAGATATATCTAAACTCTAGATAAATAAGAAGTCCTACTTTATAGTCTCACACAAAACTACTAGATCTACATGGCATCAACACACTATTCATCATCATCATAAGAGATTTTTTTTTTTTTAAGTCTTTTACAATCTTCAAATTTTAAACTATTGCCTCAGCTTCTTAAAGATGGCTCTAAATTGTCTCGTGCTAAAATATTCAAGATATTAAAGAAAAAGAGTTAAAAATATTATCTTTATGTGAAGTCTAGCAAACACACATTAAAAAAAAAAAGTTGAAATCGACATAAGAACTTGTGAAAATTTTCAAAAAGAAAAAAAAAATCATATAATCTAGCCCAGTTGAAATGATTCCATAAGTATATATTATAGATTACTAAAGATAACACTCCTCAGAATTGGAGAAAGCGTTAATAAAATATAGTAATTATGAACTATAGATGATGGATTCCACGACAAATACTACAAAAGCCTAATAACATTGAACTTATCTTCGAGAGATCATTTATGATCTATTTGATCGTTCTTTTTCTCAGGAGAGGAAACTGGAGATAAAAAAAGTCAAGTGTAAACTAGCTGTTAATATTGAGAATTAGAGTTGGTGTTAACATTGTGTATCACTCTTATTAGAGATATCAAGAATTGATGTCATGAATAATGGCAGGTGATAAAATCGACAAGCATCAATGTTTGTAGTGATAGCATGATGACATGCTTTAATGGTGTGCATCGATGTCTTGCGTCGACATTATCAGTGATGATGGATGAGGTAGTTGGTCGGCATCAGCATTAATTAGGATTAACTATTCATGTGCATTGAATTTATAAGCAATGTTGTGTGTTGATGTTGTTAGTGATAAAGTTGGAGTGGATTGTCGTCGGATGACAATTATCAAGAGACAGTTATCAAGTGACGGTAATCATGAGATATAATTTAGTAAGAGTGATTAGAAGATCTTAGTCAGCTGGCGATTATGATTAAATGGAAATTAGGAGATAGTGGTCAAGTGAAGATAATTAGGTGACAATGGTCACCGACAATAATAGTTAGTGTCAAATGTTAGGTGAAGCTTTAAAATTTTTTAGATCTCAAAGCTCTTTTCAACTTCAAGCCATGAGTAAATTACACATAGTTTGCTTTCGTCACATCCTAGAGTTCAACCGTATGATATTTTATATTTTGAACATAAAATTATTTTTTCTATAAAAATAATGAAAATTTCCTATATATTTACATATAAAACCACAAATCAACTCACTTGAAAATGATGATAAATTCAAATAGCTTCTAGAAAAAATATTATTTAAATTAAAATAATTGAACTAAAATGTCTCATTTATCAAAATCAGTTCAACGATTATTCATTGAACGAAATGTCTCATTTATTTGCACTTATCGTGATAAAAAATTCATGAAAAAAAATTTAATTTTAATAATTAAGAGAGATTTTATCATATGGAAATCGACAATATTAATCTTTATAAACATTAAAAAATTAAGATATTAAGATGCATGCATATGAGAAATGACACACATTAATTTTTTTGTAAATTTATACATCTTATATTTAAATATTTATTTATATAATATTTAAAATAATAAGTTATAGGAAAAATTATCATTAATTTATTTTATTCAAAATAAAATATACCTTTTATAAATTTAACTTAAAATTAAAATGATATATTAATTAATTATTAAATAGTGCAGAAAAAATTTATTGTAGATATGTAAAAACTTTTATTTTTTCATATTACATAATGGAAAAATAGTGCAGAAAAATTCCCCATGATGAAAGTAAACTGGTAAAAAAAATCAAATGTGCGCGCGTGTGAGTGAAGGAGAAGAGAGAGAGAGAGAGAGAGAGGTTGCAGAGCTTCTCCTAAAGCTTATTTAAACAGGCAAAGAGGAAAAGGAAATGAGCTTTTCTCTCTCATCTTGAATCCATGCACGAGAGTAGAGCCATGGGTCACCGCAGAAGCAGCGGAGAAGTGCGGCCATACGTGCGTTCAAGCAAGCCGCGTTTCAACTGGACGAGCGAGCTCAAGCTGCTCTTCGAAGAAGCCATGATAGTTCTAGGAGGCACAAGAAGTAATTTTTTTTTTTTGGGAAATAAAGTTCTTCTCCTTCAACTTTCCTGTAGCTTCTTAATCAATTCTCCCTTTCATCTCTAATGTCAATGTTCTAATTCCAAGTTTGACCTTTTATTCATGCAGAAGCTACTCCTAAACAAATCAGAGAGCTAATGAAATGCCCAGATATCCAGCTCTCTCATATAAAGAGTCGTCTCCAGGTTTTATTTCTTAATTTAAAACTTTTTTTTTTTTCAATTTTATTCTCTTTTGAATCATTAATAAAGCAATAATATGGTTACTGTAGATGTGTAGAATCCGCATGGAAGAGAAGGAGAGGAAATCAGGTAATAATCTCTAACTTCTTCAGAAGTTTATAGGATGCTTACAGTATCATTTTTTTATTATTTTTGCAACTTATGGAAATAAACAATATCTTCTGGCCCCTCCACTCTGAAGTAAAAAACATAGAGCCAGAAACTACTGATGCAAAAAAAAAAACTCAAAATAATAGAATATTTTATTAAAACTATAAGAAAAATAAATTTGGTCTTCAGATAAAATAATTTTGATAAAATTTCCTATTATTTTGAATATGCTTATGACAATCTTAATGAGCACTCAGCTCGTCTTGATTTGTTGATTGATAGTTGTATAACAATCAAAGAACATTCCTAATGAATTTTTATATCAGAAGAAGCTCTTTGTATTATCGCTCGCCATGTTGTTTAGTGTCAGATATACCCTTCTGAAGTTTAGTATTTGCACTTTATATCCCTCAAAATAAATTTGAAAATCGTTCATCTCCTTGAAGGAAATTTAATTCAACAACACCTAACATTTGCAATATTTACACCAAAACATCAATTTCAACAATGTAATTTATAAAATGTTTAAGCTTAACCCTAAAAAAATAAAAATTTGAACTTCTACAGGTCGTTTGATCCTCCTCATCATTAATTATAATATAATGGCCAGCAAATCATTATAAAATCTCAAAATTTGTGCTAATGATATGATTAATATTCTCCAATCAAACTTTGACAGGTTCAAATTCATCAGAAGAGATGCTCGTAAGCAAAAGAAGAGAGAGAACATTAGATAATATTGATGCTAATGGAGATGAGCATAGTGATGTTGTTGATGAGAATGAGCCTACTGAATCTGCTCCTCCTCTGTCAAGGTCCTGCTCCAGCTTAGAGTACCAGTCACAACGTTACTCTTTGCAACCCTCTCCTCAATCTGATCAACGCCCATTCAAAAGGTATCCATCCACCTCTTCAATATTTATTTTTATATGTACACAAGTTATTGCTTATTTCTCATCATTATTAATAATATTCACGTCATCACATAGTTGGATTCAAGTTAAATGTTTAAAATTTGAACATTTTTCTTAAAGCCTTAGGCTACCTACCAATGCTTAACTTGGTTGGTGCACAAACCCCAATGGCAGTGTCACTTAAGTGGGGCTCGATCAAGTGCGGGCCAAGAGGTTTCTGGGGTGGGTGCCTCTTCTAGGTCAGCCGAGAATTAGTCACACCACTAAGCGCTCTTTTGAGGGTGGCAGCGGGTGGATACCCCGTTCAAAAAAAAAAAAACACAGGCTACAGCACTTATAGATCACAATAAAGATAAATAAATCATTATTTCAAAACCCCATTGCATTTGAGGCACTCAGTACTTATTCTTAGATCACCTAAATAATATAACATACTCTATGTGGAAAAACAAACTTACATTTTTCTCTTTGAGATTTCTTTAACAGGTTTCGAGTGGAGGTACAACCGACTGCTTCCAGTTTTCAGTCCAATCAATACTATTTTGGTTACTTTGGGCCAAGACAAGAGTATAGTGCAGTAGCGCCAGAGTTCTCAGCTGCTTGTATCTTCAGGAAAGAACAATCAGATGAACCCAAGGTAAGTATCCAGCTTAATTTAGGTGCAATTATAGCTATTAGCAGACTATTCTAATTACTTATTTCTTGATTTTTCTTAAGAAAAACATTAATCTAGTTATGGTCCTAAGTCTTCATACTTCATAGAACTTAATCATACAACTAGCATTAGCAGAAACTGCATTTTAAACTAATTTAGCTTCCAAACATAATAATGGCAGGAGCAAGAGAACAATATCAAAGAATGCCTGGAAGAGGAAGATGACTTGCAGCTGTCCTTGTCTTTATCCACGCCAACCAGTGCCAATAGAATTAATCTAGAGCTCACCTTGTAATTTCCTGAGGGTTAGTTATCTTCTTCAAGATTTTGTTTTTCTTTTTTTTTAAATTAGCACTTAAGGATATGTACAAATGCAACTTATGAGAGGAAATGACCTTAAATCTTTTCAATGCTGATGTCTATTCATTTTTCACAAAACAGGTTCAGAACCTGTCATTCTTTGCAGCACAGCTCTTCTTAAGTTTAAATTTTATAGTATCATGGAGATTATCTATGCTTCACTAAAATTGTTTTTATTTGAAAAAACATCACTCAAAATTTTGTATTTATAAAATATATACCAAAATTTTGAAATATTCAACAAAAAGTAACACAACTTCGGTGATTGTTTTGCTGAAGTTCTGAATGTTTACAGATAAATTATTGCTCATGTATCATTGCATAATAAAAGTTCAAAATCAGTAAGATTTGACTTTTATCATAATCTTCTATTTTAATATTTGTTATCTTGAAAAGTAGGATGAGAAAGTCTATATATAATATGATATAGCACCATGCATCAAACTTGCAAAAAGAATGATCAAATAATATAAAAAAAACCCAAATATTTTAACTTTGTTAGTATACTTCACCAAATAAAATTAATTTATTTACTTTTAAAGTTTTATATTATACAATTAAAATCATTCATTACAAAAATGTTGGTGGAATTTTTAATTTAATATCTAAAGAATATAACATAAAAAAATATATAAAAAATGGTCTTCATTAATCTCAATGGTTCCCTTCTCATTGACTATGTATCTATCTCATCAGGTTGGACATAAAGGGAATCTGTTTTTTTATTTTATTTTAATTCAGATATTCCTATGACAAGACCTTAAGCGTCACATCAAACGATCCCCATCCAATACTTTGTTGGATACTACGTACCTTGTACTTAAAAGTATCAATGATCTAAATTAGGCATACAACACAGCAAGACTAAGGGACAAATTAATAAAAATAAAGTTATGATTATAAATCATGAATCAAGTTATAAAAACTGTTTCCATTGCCTATGCTCTAAAACTATAGTGGTCAACAATGCCTATAAACAATCAATCAATAAAAATTTTTGAAATCATGCAAATTTCAGTAGATTTGAAATTTTGAAACGATTGACATAACGTTGAGAATGTTAAAGGTTACTTTGTTTATTTATTTTTTAAACAAAAGAAAGGGAAAAAGAATAGAATTTCCATCAATTGGGGTGTTCAAATCTTCAAATCAAACTTTTCCTGAATGAAGGTACGGGACTCTTATGACAATTTTCTCATTGTGAGAAAGCAGAAGATTCCCACAAATGTGGTCAAATATAAACAAGAAGATGATCAAATAAATAAAATTCTTACAAGCTATTAAACATTCAAAACAAATAATCAGCATTACTTTTTTTTTTAAATGAAGCTTCTCATTAAAATAGACAAAACCTAATGTGCAGCGATTGGTCTATTTCAGGAACTGTTCCTATAAAAAGAGGTGCACTGTAAAGAACTGAAAAAGTACCTGGCTTTCCTTTGAAGTATTTAAACCTTTCACCTCAGCTCAACAAAGATAAAAAAACTGGAGATCATCATTGCTTTCAAAATGTCGAGACAAAATTTTACAATGACCTGAAACTGAATCAAGAATGAGACTTAACATATAGGAACATTGCCATTGAATAACGTACAGAATTTAAAACAAACTTTTTAGTTTGCACAGGAAAGACTTTGAGACTACTTGTCTGCTTTGTTTATGCAGCTTTATATGCTAAACAGTGTTTCTCTGAAGATGATAACTCATATAGAAAATGCAGAGAACCAATGATGAATAAAATGAACCGAATCCTGTGCTGTAATAAATACTAGCACCAAATTTTATCAGCACGGTATCCGGTGAGACAAACAAGCTTTTGCATAGAACTACAAAGGGTAGGTGATATGATGTTGATATAACCCTTTCTATTTGTTCCTTTCTGTATTAATGAGCAGGGGTTTAACGCAGAGTCGCGGCTTTGTGATGACAAATTTACTTGGAAGAACTGACACACCAACCATTAAAGACTCGGGAGGTAAACCAGAAAGAGGCAACAATTCCACAAGTATCACCACCTGTAGATTATACATTGAATTAGATCCATAAGCGTTATCTTCAGGAGATTTTTTTTTTCTTGAAAGATTTAAGAAATAAATATTAAAATAGATAGTACGATAAACTTCCACAAATAAAATCATGTAGAATTTAGACGAGAGGATTAAAAGCAGGCATAAAACTGTATAGCTTCTATCGATCAACCTGCCATGCAAAAGATAAAAAAGCAAAAATTTATTCACATTATTTTATTTTATTTTGTTTTATTTTTGTTATATATTCTCTTTTACATGTGCCTTTCCCTCAAATTTTCATAGTGCAACACTCGTCCAATTTGATTCTTGAAATTTCATTTTTTGTATTTCTGCTACTAGAATTATGTCATTAGTCGTTTTTCACAATTAAATCTAAAGTAAAAAATTTTTGAGAATATTTTGTTGTTGCTAGGGACGACATCTTGATCTCCCTTCAAAACTTTTCACATCAAAACTCCTAGTTCGTTGGGGAAAAAAAATCTCAAATCCGGACTTAAAAATTTCATTATGGCTTGTAGACACATCAGAATTTGCATATATTTTTTAGACGATTGTGTGAAGATGCTAAAAAATGATCATTTGCCAAGTTTTTTTTTAGGGAGAAAAATCCCAAAAGTAATTGTTGGTTAAAAATTCCTGTACTCAAGATTGTGAAAATTGAACTGAACAATAAACTGGAAGAAGGAAAGATTCACGGTTTAATGGTTCAACCGGATCGAACCGGATTTGAACCAGATGACATAATAAATGCTAAAAATTTTCAAATATAATAGAAATTACTTCATAATTAAAATTTTAACAAAGAATACATAACTACTTTGATTAAAGCTCATGAACAAGCTCATCTAAAGCTCAACATAAAGCTTATTTAAAAACTCAATTAATCATTAAATATTATATATATTAATAAGAATAATGGTAAAATATTTAATATAATATATAAAGTTTATAATATAAAAAATTCATGTTCCTAACTTTTATAAAGTATCTGTATTCCTAGCTTAAATTTACAACTCAAGCAATTTCATAGTTTGACACTTTAACTCTCGTGCAAAATTCTCACATGTTTTGTCTCCAATCAAAGGAGAATTTAAAGTGGTTCTTTTTATATAGTATAAAGTACAAACCATAAGTAACAATAAAGCTACATGATGTCGCAAGCTAGCAACTACTCAAATTTATTTACATATATGCCTTTAAATATATATTTAAAATTTAAAATATTTAATTAAATAAAATTTAATATTAAAAATTTTATTTAAATAAAAAATATTTGATATTAAATTGGCCAGTTCAACCGAACTGGAACCGGTTCAAACTGGTTCTCACCATTTCAATGAGAATCTGGTTTTCTAGCTAGGACGGCTTTCTTACTGCTTCTTAAAGCAGTTTTCTAGTACAAAATTTTTTAAAATAAAATTTTTATACAATAAAGATGTTTTAGAAAGCAATAAAAAAGCTGTCTCAAACGAAGCCTAAGCCATTTAAATATATTTGAGAGCAATTTGAGTCCTCCAAGTTTCATTCAAGTGGCAAAATTTTAGATTGTAGTTGGAAACCCAAGTGGTTGAGAGAGGATATTGCCCAAAGATATAATAAAGTGAAACTAATCCCTCAGTTGATGGAGTCAGAGATTCTTTGCTTCCCTTTGTTGTTTTGAGCTTTCTTAGAGCTCTTTTGATGATAAGCCCGCCTATGGACTTTTATGGTATGGACAATGTCCAACACTAAGTGCCCTTTAGGGCTTCCAAATTAGCATGCTCTCATGGGACTTTTGAATGAATTTTGGTTGTGACAACTTAGCTCTCAGACTACCATCCAAAATCTTACTTGGGGGCTCTACTGTCATCGTCGACTCCTCCGTGGCTCAAGACCCTTGGCATCGCAACCTTCCTCGTGGCATCGTTTGGTGTGCTGAAATTCTTCTCCCGCAAAGCCTAGTCTAGTTGAGTGAGTATTTCCCCAAGGTGAACTTCTCGTTATTAAATGACGGATTGTTGTAATAGCTTTTAGTGTTGCTACTATTGTTGGTTGTCTGAAGGTTTTGGCTAATCTACATACTTCTTCGCCTAAGCTAGTTGATAACACGATTTCTTTAATGATTTTCTTGCTATCTCAATAAGATATTAATTGAAATTACGTTGTCGTTCACTTTTAATTTTCTTGAGAAGCTCGTTGCATTTGGTTCCACATCAGAAACTCACCAAAGATTCTTAACCCAACCTACATTGTTGGTCAAAGGATAATCCAATACCTTTAATCGATGATAAAAGAGTTTGAGAAAAATCCATACAAAAATTCTTACCTATACTGACTATAACATTACTTGATAACCTAACATTTGATAATCATGCAACCTATTTAAGGTTTTTCATGGGTCATCTAAGCATAACTTAAAAACTTTCACTAGTGATGAAAGAAATCAAATCAAGCCAACCTAAGGCTAATTGAATATTGATTAAGAGAAGGCGTCATTGCATGGTTCTAAAAGGGTAGAAGTTGGTTTATTTAATAACATTACTATTTTTTTCAAGATCATGGTTGTGAATCTACATTGGAAAGAGTCCAACTAGGGCTTTTGTATGTAGAGATGAGATTCTCTTGGTGTAATTTCTTCAACATGCAAGAAGCTTAAGAAATAGTAGTTTGGTGAATATGCCCTTTCACTATTATTAGTCGTCCAATCCATGAACATCATTATAGACATCAACTCAGGACCATAGTCTAAATAGGATATCAAATCAACCTTATTGTGTACAGCTGCTAGCATTTGTGTCAGTATTTATGACATTACTTCGGTTGAATTGAAGTTCGTTCCCTTGATATACATGTAAATGGTAAAGGATGAGTTTCCCAACTACCACAATGCCGAGGATGTTAACGAAGTTAAAATCCTTTCAAGGTTGTAATCAGGAATGTCTCCCAATCTTAACTTCTTGTAAAAGCATCATTTCTTATTTTTAAGATGTTATGTAGTTGTGTCATCCTTACTTAGAAGAAGTGGAAAATTAATTGGTTATAAATGTTTAAAAAAATTGTGTTGAGGTCCCTAAATCCAAGGGAAGACACAAACTTTCGGAGATACTGTCTGAACACCCTTTTCATTAGTGACTGGAAAGTGGCAGGGGCATTGGTAAGCCCAAATGGCATAACCAGAAACTCATAATGCCCCTCGTGTGTCTGGAATGCTGTCTTTGAGATGTCTTCCTCCCTCATCCAGATCTGATGGTATCTCGACTTCAAATCCAGTTTGGAGAATATCACTGCTCCATACAATTCATTCAAAAGCTCGTCAATCACCGGAATGGGAAATTATCTAGTGCAGTTTTCTTATTCAATGCCCTGTAATCCACACAAAACCTCAAGCTCTCATCCTTCTTTTTGACCAGTAATATTGGGCTAGAGAAGGGACTTACATTTGGTCTAATGATTCCAGCCTCTAACATCTCCCTAATCAGCTTCTCAATCTCATCATTCTGAATCTGAGGGTAGTAGTATGGTCATACACTAATCGATGACCCCCCTCCTTTAGAAGAATTGCATGCTCCTGTTCTCTAAGTGGTGGTAACCCTTGAGGTGGCTGGAACACCTTACTGAACTGCTGTATGACTGGTTGCACTACAAGAGGAATGTCTCCCTCTTCCCCCACACTGACCCTCTCCAATCGTTACAGTTCTACCAAATATCCGCCTCCAACCTCCTGTATGGTTCTGATCATGGACTTGAGAGATACTCCCGCTCTAGAAAGCTCGGCATCTCCAAGTATCACCATTCTCTTTCCCCCCACTAGTTCCTCCTCAGTACTCTCCAACTTACCTTGGTCTCCCCCAAGATTTGCAGCCATTTCATCCCCAAGATGACATTCATACTCCCCAATTCCAAGGGAAGAAAATTCTCCCTCACATATACCCCCTAAATGGTCGACACCACTTCTTACAAACTCCTCTACACATTTCTATCTTTCCGGTGCTCATTATCACCCCGTACCTCCTGTATCCACTAGTTTCACCCCTAATAGATCAACAATATGGATGGAGATGAAATTGTGGGTTGCCCCACTATCTATTGACACTACTACATCCCTATCAACTATCTCTCCCTTCACCTTCATAGTGTGATTCGGAGTGAATCCCACTACTGAATTTAGAGAAACTTCTGCCACATCCAAATGCAACTTCTCC